GACATAACTCTGAACTTCAAACGGCACTGGTTTCTAAACCAAGCACACTATTGAGCTTAAAAGTTGTAAACAGATTTAAGTTTAGATCCCCTTATGCCTCATGAGGATAAAAATTTTCGTGGCTCTTTAGTTTTGGATTTTGGAATTTGATGACGTCACGTGAAAACGATCTATACCCATGTTATTAATATAAACAGAGGTTCTCTTCATACAAGAAGTTTCAGGCGTATACACCCCTCTGTCTTTAAATACCGATAGACCAAATAAAAATGGCTTTGAGGGCCCGAAAAGTTTCCGGGGCTTTCGAGGAACGGGCCACAGATGTCAAGGTAAGAGGGAAATCTGGGTTCGAAATTACCTTTCTACCTGCGAGAAACTGGGACTGGCCAAATCCAAGATGGCCTCCGTGGAAGAGATTCGGACAAGAATTAGTCTTCGAGAACATGATGTGATTAATGTGAGTTGAACATCTGTTCAACACATTAATAATTGAGTATAACATATCTAATACAGTATCTGACAAGATTCGTTTCTTTTTCAGACGCAGAGCACAGATTTCCCCGGAAATTACACTGGTTATGACGACACGTGGAGCCAAGAAAAATTCGAAGAAGTAGGTGAACTCGCACAAGAAATTCGTTCTTGCCAGCTCAGAACTGGACGTTTAGTTTCTTTATTGCGATGCGTGTTTTTAACAGATTTTGTTTTTTTTTTGTTTCGTCCTGTTGCATTGCAGAAATTTCGAATTGACATAGTCCACATGGGTAAGACAGAAATGGAGTTTGACATGGTTGGTGTAGACGCTTCCATTGCCAATGCATTGAGGAGGATTTTGTTGGCAGAGGTAGGTTTCTGTTTTGTAGTGTGTTCTGGTTTGTTTTAAAGTGATAATACTGGAGATACTGCAGATTCATGTGGCTGGGAAGATATCTGGGAACAATACAACTGACAACTGAACAGGGTTAGTAAGATTTCTGGAGGTGGGGGTGGTGGTGGGGAAGGCGCCTGGAAGGCAGATCCTCCCAAAATGTGAGCTTAATTTTTTGATACCTGGCTGGAACTCATTTGTGTTATTGTTGAGTTCCTACTGTTTCAAATTGCTTACATGTAGTTCTTAAACAATTTTGGTTAGCCATTCAGTACAATGTGGCTGCCCAATATTCTACAAATGCTGTTGCCTAGGACATCAAGAGGCTGTTTTAATATGAAATAATAGTTTTATTACTGACACAAGTTACTATACTTCAATGCAGGTTCCAACAATGGCAATTGAGAAGGTTTTCATTTACAACAACACCTCTATCATTCAGGATGAGGTCAGTTGAGCATACATAAATTACATCTACACAATTTTACTTTTCCCATCCTAGATCTGCAATTCAGTCCAATTTATGGGCGGCATGGCAGAGTGGTTGGGGTGCCGGACTTGAAATGTGGAGGTCATCAGTTCAAGTCCTGCTGAGTTCAAGTCCTGCTCTGACCACTTAGCTGGAGTTGTTTCTTGGCAGACTTCGGTCATGCATGTGAACGACCAACTGTTTCATTTGAAATATTTTTTTTCTTATAGTCAGTGCTTTCAGTAAGACCCGGCTCCCACTGGAGCTCCGGTGGGTACTCTCTTGTGAATCGCTGGCTCTATTCCTGCATTAATGTGCTTATGGAGTCGTCAAATGAAAAGGAACTAGCAATTCACCCTATTAAATGGTTAGTTATTATTAGAAAGCTAATAAAAACATTAAAAAAAAACCAACCAAATAGTTAATTTATACACTACCCTGTGATTTTACTGCTTTAAAAGCCAGAAGTATTCATTTTTCATTTGCGTATTAAACATTGTCGTAAACATCATCGTCACTAAAGGTCATACTCCAGCGCACGGTACGTAATGTACCTTGTGTTTTAAGAAGCCTCATTTTCATGCATCGTCAGGTCCATGAGAAAGCGGCAGCAGTCCATGCTGTGTTTCTGTCTGCTTCTAGTTCAGCTTCACAAAGCTCACAAACGTAATCAGATAAGTCTTTAATATGGTGTAAGAAGTTAACATCAAGCCAAGTGTCATATATCATGAATGACTTTGGTTTTTAAAAGGTCTTGACTTCAGTATGTAACTTATTATGAACAGTTCGCTTTTGTGTTCGGCCCTGCTATTTAGTATCGATGTTTGCATCTTGAACAATACATTACGAAATACTAAATCTCAAAAAATACTTTTTTCTGATAAAAATAATGAATGCTTGGGTGTTAATATTTTGTGTCAAATCACTGGAAATTGTGTTTCCTAGCTTTCCGATTTCAAACATTTTCTGGCGGGGCATGCCCCAATACCCCCCTAAAGGACAGGGGTCCTTCGGCCCCTTTTATCAGCTCCGGCGGATGCTAACAAAAGGGAGACACCTACTTCAAATCTTACTGAAAGCACTGATAGTTTACATTTTGTAAGTGGTATGCCTGAGAACTGTAACTACATTGGTGGTGTAACTAAGCACATTGACCACTATACATACCTCCAACCCCCAGAGTACAAAAACCTGGAGCCAATCCAAAATGCATGCTGGCCATCTTCACTTCAACTGATATTTAAACAGCCTGCGAAAACCGCGCCAATTTTGTACCATGTGTTAATATGCAATTTGATTGGTTGATTTCTGACCAATTAGGTTACTTGTTAAATATATATCAATTTGATTGCTCTGTTTTACGTTTTCCGATTGAGAGCAGCTCAAATAAGAGCAACAAATTCCCCTCTTGTTTTATTTTCCTTTTTGAAATCTCGAAAATAATGAAATTAATGAAAAAAAAAAAATTAAAAAGGGTCAAGGTAGGTAGTTCCCGGGAGATCTGATGCTCTAACCAGGAGACTGGGAGATTTGATGAAAAACTTGGAGACACCCAGGAAAACCGGGAGAGTTGGCCGGTCTGACTATAAGCATTCAACATCAACATGTGCATACATGCACATCATGTACAATTTGTCTCTTCACAGTCATAATCAGTCAGACACTATATCCTTTTGACTGAGTTGGATCGCTGGTTGGGAAAATACTTGGGTCAAGGTCATGGTGTATAGATTTAGAACAGTGGTGCTTGTCGAGAAAGCCAAGAGCCCTTTTTTCCTCTATATTCCAACCTAACTTGGTCAAGGAATATTTCATCATATCACTGTTATTGAGCTTGGTTTTATCAGAAAATGGTGAAAGTTTTCCAGTTGGTAAATAGTAAATGTTCTGAAATGTGGATTGTTGCAATAAATAAATTATTGACTTGTACTTGCTGGCTGGCTCGGATATCACATGCGTGTATGTGGTAAACAAATACCTGTACATAGGTGTACTGTTCGTGAAATTATATGTTTGTCCTTGTGCAGACAAACTTATAAGAGCATTGAAGCAAAAATAATCAAGGAACATGTTAAAAAGTTGTGATTTCCTGAAGCTCCTAAAATGGTGTTACGGGTGTACAAGTCATGTAAGAATACAAAAAGACAAAACTTACTTCTCAATATAATATGGAAAGAATGCTTTTTCAATCATTTCTTAAATTATAATAATATTATTTGTAAGTGAACAATGGCATACAGTATGTAAGCTAGTCTTTAATCTGTAAATCAGTGAAACGCCTTTTTTCCTTTCCTTTCTCTAGGTATTGGCTCACAGGCTTGGACTAATCCCAATCTATGCAGACCCCAGGGAATTTGATTTCAAGTCAGATGGTAAGAAGTAAACATTTCTGGCCCGGAATTAATATAATCTTCAAACCTATACTTCATACCATCCTGTAAAATATGTGGTATGCGAGTCCAAGCCCTGGGATAATTTCCAACTGCCCATTATAATAATCACAAGCAAACGTTTTGTAATGCACAAGCTAGTAAAAATTAACATTAAAGGTGAACAATGTTTCAGAGTCGTCATGACATCATTTTCAAGGTCAAAAAGATAAACAAACTGTCAGATTGCTTGCTTGCTTAAGCTCTTTGATTCCCTGAGGACCATAGGGCGGCAACAACACTCCTCCAACGCACTGGGTTCGGTGAGGTCCTCCTCAGCTGTGCCCATGTCGTTCCGATGGCCTTCACCTCTGCGTCAGTGCTCCTGTTTCGGTCTTCCTACTTTTCACTTTCCTTGTGGATTCCAGTTAAGGGCTTGCTTGGTGACATTTGAGGGGGACTTCCTGAGTGTGTGGCCAGTCCACCCCCATTTCCTTTTTCTGATCTCCACTTCCATGGGGCTTTGACCAGTCTTGTCCCAGAGGTCAGCGTTGGAAATGATGTCTGGCCATCTGATGTTGATGATTTTTCTGAGGCATCTGTTGATAAAGGTCTGCAGCTTGTGGGTGTTTGACTTGGTAGTTCTCCATGTTTCGGAGGCATACAGTAGGACAGACTTGACGCTGGTGTTGAAGATTCTGATCTTGTTGTGGAGCGAGAGGGCTGGAGAGTTCCAAATGGGGCAGAGGGTGTTGAATGCATGTCTGGCCTTGTTGATCCGGCTCTTGATGTCTTCGTCTGTTCCTCCATCTTTGTTGACGATGCTGCCCAGGTAGACAAACTTCTCCACCTTGTCCAGGTCTTCGTCGTGGAGTGTGATGGGGTCTTGCTTCTTGTTGTTTATTCGCATCACCTCCGTCTTCTTTGTGTTGATATTGTGGCCTGTCTTCACAGCTTCTTCGGCGAGGCGGGAGAGCTTCATCCTGTGGGTCCTGGTGTCTGTGTGAGAGGAGGGTAATGTCGTCAGCGAAGTCCAGGTCCTCCAGCTGTTTGGTGAAAATCCACTGGATGCCGGTCTTTTTGTCTGATGTTGCCTGCTNGATCTTGTTGTGGAGCGAGAGGGCTGGAGAGTTCCAAATGGGGCAGAGGGTGTTGAATGCATGTCTGGCCTTGTTGATCCGGCTCTTGATGTCTTCGTCTGTTCCTCCATCTTTGTTGACAATGCTGCCCAGGTAGACAAACTTCTCCACCACATTCAGGTCTTCGTCGTGGAGTGTGATGGGGTCTTGCTTCTTGTTGTTTATTCGCATCACCTCCATCTTCTTTGTGTTGATATTGTGGCCCGTCTTCACAGCTTCTTCCGCGAGGCGGGACAGCTTCTCCTGTGGGTCCTGGTGTCTGTGTGAGAGGAGGGTAATGTCGTCAGCAAAGTCCAGGTCCTCCAGCTGTTTGGTGAAAATCCACTGGATGCTGGTCTTTTTGTGTGATGTTGCCTGCTTCATAATCCAGTCGAATACCAAAAGGAAGATGGTTGGCGATAGTAAGCAGCCTTGACGAACACCGGTCTGTACCTGGAATGTGTCCATCAACTTCCCATCGTGTATGACTTGGCAGCTGGAGATGTCGTACAGTTGCTGTATGATGGAAATGAACTTGGGGGGGAAGCCATAGTGTTGCATGAGTCTCTAGATGATGCCTCGATCGACACTGTTGAATGCCTTTTGGAAGTCGACGAATACTGAGTACAGTGGGGTCTGCCATTCCAGCGACTGCTTGATGATACTTCGCAGCGTGGCAATGTGGTCTGTGCAGGATCTGTCTTGGCGAAAACCTGCCAGCTCCTCTCGTAGAGTTTCGTCCAGGGCCTTCTTGAGTCTCTCCAGGATGATTCTTGTCAGGATCTTGCTTGGGATGGACAGCAGCATGATTCCCTGCCAGTTGTTGCATGATGACAGGTCCCCTTTCTTTGGCAGTTTCACCAGTTACCCTTTCTTCCATTCCTCCGGGATCTGCTCGTTCTCCCAGATCTTCATCAGGAGTGGATGGAGCATCTCTGTGGAGGTCTGGACGTCTGCCTTTAGTGCTTCTGGTGGAATGCCGTCTGGGCCTGCTGCCTTGCCTGACTTCAAGGACTTGATGGCTTTGCTAACCTCGGCCTTGGTTGGTGGATTGATGCTCACCTCTAGCTGGTTTGCTGCTGGTGGGATGTCAGGTGGGACTTGAGGTGGTGGTCTGTTGAGAATCTCTTGGAAGTGTTCTCCCCATCTTGCTCTCTCTTTGGCTTCATCTGTGATGGTCTCGCCGTTCTTGTCTTTCACTGGTCTTGAGGGGGCCTTGTTCTTCCCTGACAGTGCTCTT